AAGATAACCTGCATGTTTGTTTTTAATGTAATTTATTTGATTTGTTTAGATTGCATTCTCTGTATTGTAGCCTATATTATAAATTCATTTAGTTTGCGAGCGCTGTTGCGACTGAGCAGCAGAGCAGTTTGCCTCAGCTTTTCAAAAATGACAATAAACGTTTAAACTAACGTTAACTGTCTGTGTGATGTGCTTAAGTTGTTTTAAATCTATGGATTTTATTGTAGCCAAGTAAAGTGTTGATTTGAGAGGCTATAAATCAATCAATGGATCAAACATGTTTAACTCGCTGTCGGCTGCTTGGTCGTCATAAATTTTGTTTTTTGTTTTTTCTTAATTAACTTTATAAAGAAATGAAAATAAACTTACCGGTAAATACTTTGCCATTGAAAACAAAATATATCTGGTTTACTGACTGCAACATAGGTCAGGCTGTTTATCTTTTTTTTTTTCTTTTTTTTTTTACGGGCTCGGGTCGGACTCGGGCTGATCATTCTGATGAGCTGTCGGACACGGGCCGGGCTAGGGCCTGAGCGTCTCGGGGCAGGGCCGGGCTAGGGCCTAGATTTGAGGCCCGTGCAGGGCTCTAGTGTGATTACAACCCCTTCACACACAGGCAATAAAAAAAGGATTCATTTTAGTTGAAAAGTTACATAGAGCACCTTTAATATTCAAATGAAAATGTTTTTTTTAATGGTAATAAATCCTATATATATATATATATATATACTAGAATTATTTACTATAATTCTAAACTATTCACAATATTATATATATATATGTGTGTGTGTATAATTATTGAGTAGTTCTAGAATTAGTATAGATAATTCTAGTGTATATATATATATATATACCTTAATATTTTTAAAGTGCATTAATTAAAAATAGGCCTTAGTTATTTTGCTGATTTTCTTTTGTTATAATTAAGAGCGTGTCAGTAAAAACACTTGTGTATGTGTGTTTTTTTTTTTAATGGTCATTATAGAGTACCTGAGTAACGTGATGGATGCGCTGGGGTTGCAGACCTCTAGAACCCTCCAGAATATCGTCATTCTTCTTCGTGCCAAACCGGAGGAATACCGGCAGACGGCCAAACCCGTCCCGCGCAGACTGACCTCCACCATCGCCACCCTGAGGGGTCTGGAGTACTGACACCGGGACCGCCATGAGTAGATGGGTGTGTGTTCATTGAAGGGTTTTTGCTGTTGTTGATTCTAACACCAAAATGCGACACTAAACAGATCTATATCCCCAAACAAACAAAATAAATATTAATGGCACTTCAGATGTGCATCTTGTATTTTTGTTTTCAATGAATTTGAACAGAAGTTGATGGTTTGGGGTAAAAAAATATAGTGGGATTTAATTGTGTAGGAAAAAAGAAAATGTTACATTGAATCAGTTTTGCTTATATTTCTGAATCCAGTGATTTAAAGTTGAAATGACACAATGAAAGATTGTTTATGCATATTTATTTTTTCGTGTTTTGCATGTTTGCCATTACTCCTAATCAATAATGAACATGAGCACTGCTGTGTTTCTGCTTTATCAAGCTACATGGTAACTTTCTAATGCTTTCTATGTCCGGCTCTCTGACTTTTTTCTGTGTTTTTCTGGCTCTGTGTTTTTATTATTTTTGCTCACTTGGGGACAGTTTCAGACAGCATTTCAAGAATGTTTTCAATTCTGTTAATTTAACAAAATAAAACATCTGAACAGATTTAAGTGCATTGTTTTGTGTTTCACAGTGCGTCAACATTGCCAACATTGTAGTAAATGAATTCCTCAAGAAATTACCCAACCCATTATCCCTGGACTTGAAGTAAAAGAAACGATTGTTTAATAAAACATGATTTTTATATTCAGGACGTATACTATTAAGCCATATTTCAAAAAGTCTTTTATGCTCAAGGCTGCATTTATTTGATCAAAAATACAGTAAAAACAGCAATATTGTGAAATATTATTACAATTTAAAGGAAATGTTTTAAAATAATTGACTCCTGTGATCAAAGCTGAATTTTCATCATTATTACCCCAGTCTTCAGTGTCACATGAGCCTTTAGAAATGATCAAATGATCAGGTTTCTTTGATGAATAGAAAATTATATATATATTTGAGGACTTGTCACTTTTGATCAATCTAATGTGTCCTTGCTGAATAAAAATATTAACTTTTTTTTAAAGCTTACCCAACACCAGTTTCATCCTGTTAAAAAAGAGGGAAAAATATTGTCTAATCTTTCAGTATGGATGCAAGTGTCAGTGTGCATTAATACATACTTCTGAAGTCTCATAAGAATAAAAAACACATCAAGGTTGTTAATCACTTTAATCATATTGATTACTGATCATGTTGATTGATCGGGATGATTGGCAGTGGTCAGAGAGGTGGTGATTGCATATCTGTAATTCAAGTACATCAAATCAAACTTAATACACAAGAAACAGGTGATCAAACTTGACATTGGATACAAGAGCAGGCACAGTAAATCGTACGAGAAGAATTGGATGCAGACATATCTATCATTCCAAATCATTTTAAGAGGGCAGTTTGCTTCAATGTGAGTGAAAGACGGAGAGACAAGCTTGACTTGTCCCGAAAGAAAAAAACTAACATGTTTGGGAATAAAACAAAATCAAACGGATGTGGATATGTGTCGTTGTGTTCTCGCTGGAAGCATGCTTTAAATGATTTATTCTGCGTTGCTTTGTGACACCTGGACCAAAGTGGTCTTAACGCCTTCTAAAATAAAACCAAACACAGGCTCTTTTATATATATATAGATCTATATATGTGTGAACAACAAAGTGGTCATGAAAAATATGAACAATCTTTGAAATGGAACAAAGAGATGAACTCCGAACAAAAACTCTGTATAAAATATAAATTATTCAATAAATTGATAATTATAAACAAAAGCATTTATAAAACTATAAATATGCACAACTTTGAAAAAACAAAGACCTATTTGGGCTATAATAAGGTTTCTTTCTGGGCTGGGAAAGGACCCAGTGACCCAGTCCGGAGACATCTCGTTTTCGCTTGGTAAAGTTTCGAAAATATAAGCTGTGTCATATTGTCTTTCTCCTGAAGGTCGTATGTCCACTTCCATCATCTGCATTCCATATATCAGAAGCGGATGATATCAACACACCCAAAATATCACGAACCGTCCCTCACACCAGACACCGGACCGCTGCCTGCTCGAACCTTCGCAGTCCCTCATATTCATTTCCTTCAGTCATTTCTGTCGACTTGCTAATTAGCAGAGGCTTCTCGTCTACAATAACAGACTTGCCACATCAAGCACCTTCGTCAAGGGCTTCCAGCATCCATATTTGATCTTCTATCTGCCCTCTCATCCTATGTAGCGTATTGATAAGCACATCTGTTATATGTCAGTAGTCTAAAAACCTCGACTCATTTCCTTCACATGATGTGGCTCAAGTGTGACACTCACTTTTTGTGCAATCTTGAATAATATGAACATATAACTTATTGAATAATAAGTTTGTAAATGCCCTTGTGTTAAGTGCTAACAGATTAGCTGCAGTGCTACAATGCTAAAGATGCTACTGACTGAGGCCCAGATCTGAAGCAAAAACTCAACTGTGATGTTTTTGCATTAGGCTAAAGCTAAATGCTAAAGGTTTAGCTTTAGCCTGGTGTCCTGAGATATAAAAAGAAAAACTTCTATTGGGTAACACAGCATTTTAGGACACCACATAAGCATGATTAGAATTTGTAATGGAGTTTACTACAAAATAACAAACAGGCCTAAGCACGTTCATCTCAACTTAAATGTTTTGGCTTAGCATTAAGCTGAATGCTAAAGATTTAGCTTTTGCCTCATGTCCTGAGACATAAAAAAAACTTTTAGATAAACAAGTTGGGTAAAACTTAGCACTTTAAAACACCAAATTAGCATGATTAGAGTTAGCAACTTTAATTCTGTAGCCTATTTTACAATGTACAATGCCTATGTTTTGCATTATTTAGCCTAAAGCTAAATGTTTGACTTTAACTGGTGTCCTTAGAACCAAAAATAACTTCTATGATAAACAAGTTAGATTAAACTGAACATTTTAAAAAACCAAATTAGACATTTTAATTCTGTAGCCAATATTACAGAATGGCATTTAAAATTGTTCTTTGAAGAGTTTGAAAAGTGTTTTCATTGATTTGGTCCATTGTACAAGCTGTCATTCAGCTGTTGTTTTGCTAAGCTAAAGGCTAAAGACAAATGGAAGGGATGAGCCCTGTGTCCTAACTTCCTGTTTTAACAGGAAATACATCAACAAATGACTGTAAAACGGGATCTTTAAAACAATCAGACGAGATGAAAATGAAAAATGGCTGCACGGGCAGGCAGGGGTCTGGTGCGGAACTGAGCATTCACGTTTTTCACCTGAGATTAGAGACACGACGCCTCTACAAAAACACAGTTTCCCACACTGCATCCGTTTGTAAGGAAGACGCTGAGACTGATACGAGCCTCCACTTTGCCTTTGCTACATCTCCGTCAGATTATCATTCATATTATTGCCAATGAGAGCAGGTGAACTCAAACTGAGAATGAAACGCTATCAGCCCCGATGCATGTGGGAAAAGACGCCGTATCCCGCTTACAGAGGATGCTAGCATCAGCACAGTTGTTATCATGGCTACAGAGAAAACTAATGTTGTACGCAGACAAACATTAGCCAAACACTTGGATAGATAGACGACCCCACAAAAAGAGAGATACGCAACCAAAATATACAGTCCAGGCGGCATTTCGATGGAAGAAATGAAACCGAACGGGAATGTCACATGGGGCAGTATGTAGCAGAACAGATTTTGGTGGCATTGAGATTTTTTTTTTTTGAAATCTAAAACTAATAAAACAGTTCAGTGTGTAACTCGCAGTCAGAATTTATTCACATTTTCTTCCTATTTCAAAACAAAATATAGCTCTTTTAAATATATTATTTTCTTAAATATCCATTGCATATCATGTTTTTAATTTTTATTAACATCTTTATTATTAATATCTTTTTTAATTTTTTTTTTTTAGCCCTCCCCACTTCAACTAAGGGCTAGCAGAAAATACAGTCATGCAAAGTCTCATGCTGGTAAACAAAGTTACAAAAATGCATTTTTTTAAATTATTTTTTTCTCTCCAAGTATTTTTTTTTTCATTTGATTTTCTTTTTTCATATATTTTGACATCCATTTTCTCACAGTTCAGTCTACGAGGAAACGATCTCTTTGATGAAGCATATCTCCCTCCAAAAGAGCGCGTTAATATTCTTTTCTTTCGACCTTTTTTTCTCTATTCTTTTTTGTGTAAGTCGCTGCGGTTGTTCGTAGGGTGGACGGCATTGCATTTTTACAGTCGCATTCGAACATCGGTGGCGTCGCATGCCTCGTGAACCACGGAGATGTTACTTATCAAAATATAAATTTGTTCTTTTTTTTTTGTACATTTATTCTTGATTCGTTTGGCGTGACCTCCTGCGCTCCCTCTGATTAGTTAAGAAGGAACAACGCAGTCAAGCCAAAAGGAGAGAATACGAGACAGAGATGGAGGGAAACTCTGAAGGCAGTTTTAGACAAGTCGTACATAGACGATTTTTTTTAGAAAGGGAGATTTTAAGAATGTCTCTGCATTTCCCTGACCTTTATACCCTCTTTCCATGAAGACAAAACGCTAGTTATTGGTCCAAGCACTCACATGTGCATGTATATAATCTATGGCAGCATTAGCTATACTAAATCACAAAATAAATCACATAATAAACCTCTATAATCAGAGAGGATTCCCATGGGAAAAGTCCTCAATTTGAGGGGTTTTTGGGAATTAGAGACAGCACCCCTGGCAGAACAGCCAATCCGTTCATATTTAAAGGGACGAAAAGTTCAGATCTGACAGGGAACATCTAAAGTCATTTTGTGCCGTTTTAGCTTTCGTACATTATTTGGTCACAGTTGGGCTTTGGTCTGTCGGGACTGTGTTTTTGATGTTGCCTCCCCCGAACGTACGGGAAAAAACCTGGAAGACTGTTTGGGAATAGCAACGTACATCTGTTACCAAAGCAGAGTGCTGCGTTTCACTTTTCAGCGCTCTAGATTCATTCACAAAGAAAAGCTACTCTAAGACTCAGACTTTTCTCGGACGGGGAGTGGGAACTACCACACGGCAATACACGGACAACACACTTTGCTGCTAATATGCTGAGTGGGGGGAAAGAAAACAAGAACAAATTGTGCATGACTAAGTCATTTTTAGTCATTCTGTGCAAACGGTCGATGGATATCAGTCTGTAAAAAGTCTGTCGGAGAGTTCTCCCAGCCAAGAAATGCTACAGGGTCTTAGCAGAAATGCTACATAATTATTCTAACTTGGTCCTTCATTCTTACATATAGACTAATGTACAGAAACTCAGGGCCCAGGTGAGTGCGGCAGTCAAAACGCCTGGTGTTTTGATCTTAAAACATTGGAATGTTTTTCCGTTCGTTCCTTCAAGAGTCTTTTTTCTCTTTCAGGTGTCAGTGCAATGTTCGGTTTTGTTGCTGTAAAGTCAGTCAGTCTGTAGAAAGAGGAGTGATCCGGAATTTCGGTGAGGTTGCTTTGGTTACCGTGTGAAGATTCGGCATTGGAAATTTCCAGTTTCCTTTGTTGTTGTTTTTTTGTTTCCAGTCACACCCTCTTGCCACTCCGACATCCCTCACACGTCCCGTATGGGTGGTGCGGTCCCATCTGCAAAGTTTTCAGGATTCAGCGACTAACTGTGTCTCCTTAAAAGAATTGCCAAATGCTAGAAACTTAACACTGTGGACAAAAACAGAAATATAATGATTTTGTTAGAAACAATTATTAACTATGCAATGCTTTAAAAAAGAAAAATCACAGAAAACGTAAGATGTAGAAATGCTTTTACAGAAACCACACAAAAACAAAGTTACTGACAAAAAAAAAAAAGAAGAAAAGAATTTGAGACAAACACGGTTAAAACGTTTCTACACACAGATCTCAAGATGAAGATGCATGCACTGAACACCGGTTGTGCAATGTATCTTCTCAGGGGTGAAAAAGTCCAGTCCCGGAGAAAACACACAGGTGCTAATTACAATTAATGGCGTCACACAGTGTTTAACCTGAAATCTAAAGACGCTGAAGATTACACTTGACTAACTAAATGTGGCCAATTAACTTTCTAGATCAAGCAGGAATGGAATAGTCCACCCCAGATACATTCTAGATCAATTTAAAAATACAATAGGCTACTACATTATTATTGATAAAGGAAACTTATTGATTATATCTGAGAACAGTAGAAAGCTGGGGAGGGTTTACCTGTGAATCGCTGGTAAAAGTTAAGCATGTACTGCAAGAATTCAGTTAACAGATAATTCATTCAACTATATGATATTATAAGCGGAATCATTTATCAGTTTGAGTCAAATTATGAGGTTTGAACAAAAAATGAAATTATTAAATGAAATTATGCCTATCTATGTTTTTGTACATATTTTTTTGGGTTACACTTTATTTCGATAGTCTACTTTAGACATTTTATTAACTATAATTAACTTTGCAACTACATGTCACTTAACTCTCATTAACTTGCAACTGCATGTCAAGTGACTCTCAGAGTACTAGTAAACTGTTAGGTTAGTGTTAGTAGAATAAGTTGACATGTACTTGATAACTTACTTATAGTCAGAAACTAAGTAACTTTGCAACTACATGTCAAGTAACTCAAGTGAGAGTATTAGTAGACTGTTAGGTTAGGGTCTTAGATTGGAAGTTGACATGTAAATATAAGTAACTTTGCAACTTTTGCATGTCAATGTCAACTAACTCTCATTAATTTGTAACTACATGTCATCTAACTCTCATGAGAGTATTAGTAGACTGTTAAGAGTTAGTAGTAGAATAAGCTGACATGTACTTGAAAAGTTACATATAGTCAGTAACTACAAGTAACTTTGAAACTACATGGCAACTAACTCAATAATTTGCAACTACATGTCCATTAACTCTCATGAGAGTATTAGTAGACTGTTAGAGTTAGTAGTAGAATAAGTTGACATGTACTTGAAGTTACATATAGTCAGTAACTACAAGTAACTTTGCAACTAAATGTCAATGTCAACTAACTCATTAATTTGTAACTACATATCATCTAACTCTCAAGAGAGTATTAGTAGACTGAAGAGTTAGTAGTAGAATAAGTTGACATGTACTTGAAAAGTTAAATAGTCAGTAACTACAAGTAACTTTGCAACTACATGTCAATGTCAACTAACTCCCATTAATTTACAACTACATGTCATCTAACTCTCAAGAGAGTATTAGTAGACTGTTAAGAGTTAGTAGTAGAATAAGTTTGAAATGTACTTGAAAAGTTACATATAGTCAGTAACTACAAGTAACTTTGCAACTACATGTCAACTATCTCATTCATTTGTAACTACATGTCATCTAACTCTCAAGAGAGTATTAGTAGACTGAAGAGTTAGAAGTAGAATAAGTTGACATGTACTTGAAAAGTTAAATAGTCAGTAACTACAAGTAACTTTGCAACTACATGTCAATGTCAACTAACTCCCATTAATTTACAACTACATGTCATCTAACTCTCAAGAGAGTATTAGTAGACTGTTAGGGTTAGTAGTAGAATAAGTCGACATGTACTTGAAAAGTTACATATAGTCAGTAACTACAAGTAACTTTGAAACTACATGTCAACTAACTCAATAATTTGCAACTACAAGTCATCTAACTCTCAAGAGAGTATTAGTAGACTGTTAAGAGTTAGTAGTAGAATAAGTTGACATGTACTTGAAGTTACATATAGTCAGTAACTACAAGTAACTTTGCAACTACATGTCAATGTCATCTAACTCCCATTAATTTACAACTACATGTCATCTAACTCTCAAGAGAGTATTAGTAGACTGTTAAGAGTTAGTAGTACAATAAGTTTGAAATGTACTTAAAAAGTTACATATAGTCAGTAACTACAAGTAACTTTGCAACTACATGTCAACTAACTCATTAATTTGCAACTACATGTCATCTAACTCTCAAGAGAGTATAAGTAGACTGTTAGGGTTAGTAGTAGAATAAGTTGACATGTACTTGAAAAGTTACATATAGTCAGTAACTACAAGTAACTTTGCAACTACATGTCAACTAACTCATTAATTTGCAACATGTCATCAAACTCTCAAGAGAGTATAAGTAGACTGTTAGGGTTAGTAGTAGAATAAGTTGAAATGTACTTGAAAAGTTACATATAGTCAGTAACTACAAGTAACTTTGAAACTACATGTCAACTAACTCAATAATTTGCAACTACATGTCCATTAACTCTCATCAATTTGCAACTACATGTCATCTAACTCTCAAGAGAGTATTAGTAGACTGAAGAGTTAGTAGTAGAATAAGTTGACATGTACTTGAAGTTACATATAGTCAGTAACTACAAGTAACTTTGCAACTACATGTCAATGTCAACTAACTCATTATTTTGTAACTACAAGTCATCTAACTCTCAAGAGAGTATTAGTAGACTGTTAAGAGTTAGTAGTAGAATAAGTTGACATGTACTTGAAGTTACATATAGTCAGTAACTACAAGTAACTTTGCAACTACATGTCAATGTCATCTAACTCCCATTAATTTACAACTACATGTCATCTAACTCTCAAGAGAGTATTAGTAGACTGTTAAGAGTTAGTAGTAGAATAAGTTTGAAATGTACTTGAAAAGTTACATATAGTCAGTAACTACAAGTAACTTTGCAACTACATGTCAACTATCTCATTCATTTGTAACTACATGTCATCTAACTCTCAAGAGAGTATTAGTAGACTGAAGAGTTAGTAGTAGAATAAGTTGACATGTACTTGAAAAGTTAAATAGTCAGTAACTACAAGTAACTTTGCAACTACATGTCAATGTCAACTAACTCCCATTAATTTACAACTACATGTCATCTAACTCTCAAGAGAGTATTAGTAGACTGTTAGGGTTAGTAGTAGAATAAGTCGACATGTACTTGAAAAGTTACATATAGTCAGTAACTACAAGTAACTTTGAAACTACATGTCAACTAACTCAATAATTTGCAACTACAAGTCATCTAACTCTCAAGAGAGTATTAGTAGACTGTTAAGAGTTAGTAGTAGAATAAGTTGACATGTACTTGAAGTTACATATAGTCAGTAACTACAAGTAACTTTGCAACTACATGTCAATGTCATCTAACTCCCATTAATTTACAACTACATGTCATCTAACTCTCAAGAGAGTATTAGTAGACTGTTAAGAGTTAGTAGTACAATAAGTTTGAAATGTACTTGAAAAGTTACATATAGTCAGTAACTACAAGTAACTTTGCAACTACATGTCAACTAACTCATTAATTTGCAACTACATGTCATCTAACTCTCAAGAGAGTATAAGTAGACTGTTAGGGTTAGTAGTAGAATAAGTTGACATGTACTTGAAAAGTTACATATAGTCAGTAACTACAAGTAACTTTGCAACTACATGTCAACTAACTCATTAATTTGCAACATGTCATCAAACTCTCAAGAGAGTATAAGTAGACTGTTAGGGTTAGTAGTAGAATAAGTTGAAATGTACTTGAAAAGTTACATATAGTCAGTAACTACAAGTAACTTTGAAACTACATGTCAACTAACTCAATAATTTGCAACTACATGTCCATTAACTCTCATCAATTTGCAACTACATGTCATCTAACTCTCAAGAGAGTATTAGTAGACTGAAGAGTTAGTAGTAGAATAAGTTGACATGTACTTGAAGTTACATATAGTCAGTAACTACAAGTAACTTTGCAACTACATGTCAATGTCAACTAACTCATTATTTTGTAACTACAAGTCATCTAACTCTCAAGAGAGTATTAGTAGACTGTTAAGAGTTAGTAGTAGAATAAGTTGACATGTACTTGAAGTTACATATAGTCAGTAACTACAAGTAACTTTGCAACTACATGTCAATGTCATCTAACTCCCATTAATTTACAACTACATGTCATCTAACTCTCAAGAGAGTATAAGTAGACTGTTAGGGTTAGTAGTAGAATAAGTTGAAATGTACTTGAAAAGTTACATATAGTCAGTAACTACAAGTAACTTTGAAACTACATGTCAACTAACTCAATAATTTGCAACTACATGTCCATTAACTCTCATCAATTTGCAACTACATGTCATCTAACTCTCATTAATTTGCAACTACATGTCATCTAAGTCTCATGAGAGTATTAGTAGACTGTTAAGAGTTAGTAGTAGAATAAGTTTGAAATGTACTTGAAAAGTTACATATAGTCAGTAACTACAAGTAACTTTGAAACTACATGTCAACTAACTCATTAATTTGCTACTACTGAATGTCTGAAGTGGACTATCGAAATAAAGTGTTACCTTTTCTTGTTACCAGGTTTTAATAAGGCAATAAATCTGTCAAAAAGTGTTGATTGTACACATATACAGCATTCAAACGTTATCTTGGTGAATGAGTGCATTTCAGTTATGGAAAGAAATAGTTTTTCTTGTTAATATGCAAACAGAAATTTAAAATGCACACACACAAATACACCAAAAACAAATGCTCATTTACATAAATGTCAACATAACACATCTTTAAAGAACAACCAGCATACATAAAGAGAAAGGCAGAGATGAGTTTAATGGGCATTCACTCGTGTAGATACAGATTTGTACAGATCAAGTTTACGATGTCGGCCTAGAAGCTTTGCTTTAACAGGTGAAGCTAGTTAAATCTAGCTA